TTATTATTATTATACATACAGTGAGTTGAAAATTTTTTTACTAATAAATATCGCTCTATCCATATAATTTTGTGTATCTTCAATTCGTTTTGAAATAGGTGGGTTAAAACATTTACATAAGTAATCTTTTTATTGTAAAATTTAATTATTATGCCAAATAATAGTGCGACTACCTCTATTGTCAACTAAATCTTCTGTAGTATTTTTTTGTATTCACTTTGTATTTGATAACTTTGAACTTTTTCTGGACTAAAAAACCACGCACAAAATTCTTTTAATTAATTAGAAAACCTTAAAGTAATTTCTTCTTCGGAAGTATTGTCGACTAGAGAATCATATTCGATAAAACCCATGACGGTTGCAGCATCTTTTAACGTCTTGTATTTTATTTTTTCATATGTTTAAATATCTTCGAAGGATGATGCAGTATTCATTCTATTTAAAATAAGTTTTAAAAAACTGCTTATGATTTTTTGAAGGTATTTCGTTTAGTCTAGTTATTGCAATATTTTTGTTTACACATTCCCTGTTTCCGCAAATTTTGAGTTAGTTATTAAAAATTAAATAATATGAAATGTTCACATACTTTATTCGTTTTGCCGAATAATTATGTTTGTTTTATTATATTTAAGCTGTTGGTTACGTTTGTTAGTTTAATACTATTTTCAAAATTGTTTTTATTGAACACAAGTTTTTTTTTGTTTCCCAGGTAGACAGATTAATTTACTACTGTATTGCTTCTAACACAAATTAAAAAGTTTTGTAGTCTCCAAGCTGCTTTGATTGTACCCACGCATCTTGCATCAGTAAAACTATTTATGTCACGAAATATCTATGTTTCTTTGTCTTTTAATTTTTGAATTTTTATGTACGCTCTGTTACTACCTTTATAAATGTAGTATAAGGTATGACCACAGAGTTATCTTCCAAGATTCAATCTTTTTTTCAAGTTTTGGTAATATAATTGGCAGATATGTTATTTGTTCTTTTATACTACTGTTAACCGTTTATTTGGGATATAGTTTAAAATGTAGTACATTTGCAAAAGATTTAGGGAAATTTTTTATACACTTTTGATTAGAAAAAATCACATGAGGACTGTGTTTTGTGTGGGAACTGTGAGCATGTGTTTAATAATTAATTTTTAAGTTTCATATTACCTGAAGAAATTTTAGCCGAAATTAGTCCATCAATTTTTTCAGGCGTAATGTTTTTTTTAACAGAATATGAAGTTATTAAAATGTTCGCCTGAGGTAAACCATTTTCCTGGAGTTTAATTGTATAGACGTATGCCAATATTTCACTAAAATTGTCATTTTTAATATCACCTGAAATCGTTCGTAATTAAAAATGAAATAATCTAACTGTAATATGTTGAATATCATTTGGTTTCGTATTTTTTCGAAAATTTGGATAGAACTTAATAGATAAATTTTTTTATTCCTAATAACATGTTACTTTTATAAACATTTCTCGTCTACCGTATTTTCTTATTATAACTATTGCATTCTGATAGTCTTTTTGCTAATATCGTGGACTTTTGATGTATTTGGATCGCAGTACGAAGAAATTTTTAGTTTTTTTCGTTTTAAAATTTTTAGAAATAATCGATGCTTTATTAGTGATGGCATTTAACAACCCTTGATGAAACTTATTTTTCAAACTTCTCTGTTTATATCTGCAAGGGTTCAAACGAA